TTACTGTACTTAAGTAGAAATTTTGGGTATCTGTACTTTACTTGAGAAATTATTTTCCAGCTTTTTACTTTTACTCATTACATTTTTACACAATTATCTGTACTTTCTACTCACTACAGTTTTTAAAAAGGTAAGAAGTAGAAAGTTGTTACTCCTATTTTATTCCAAGTTGTTATTACTTAAAAAAATACTATCCTGATAAATTGTGTCTCCTGGACAGAGTGAATTTAATTGTGGTTGGATGTGAAGTATAAATATATACCATTCTGACACCCTATTGTACACAACCCATCACAGATGCATGCCGTTAAAAAAWTTTTTTTTGAGAAGTCACCTCCTAATAAATGTCATTTTGGAAAATCTAACTGCTCACATTTACTCACTACTTTTACTTTTAATACTTAAGTAGATTTTGTGTCAGAAATTTACTTTTGACACTTAAGTACAAAAAAGATCAGATACTTTAAGACTTTCACTCAAGTAATATTTTTAGAGAAGACTTTAACTTTTACCAAAGTATTTTTATGATAAGATACTTGTACTTTTACTCAAGTAATATTTTTAGAGAAGACTTTAACTTTTACCAAAGTATTTTTATGATAAGATACTTGTACTTTTACTCAAGTATCACCTTGTGATACTTTACACAACACTGGAAAAGGTTTATTAAACACATTCAGGGGTTGCATCTTTTCAAAATGTCATGTTTGCAGTTTGCTCAGTAATTTCCAGTGTTGAATTCTGCTTGACTTAACATCTAACAGAAAACAGAAAGCTAAAAGGGACAAAAATCAATTTATAATAATCTCAATCTTTTTCTAACAATAGTTAAAATAGTCTTGTGGATGTTTCTATATGTGTTTTTTTTTTATTATTATGATTTCATTTGTTTGAAATAAAGAATACCACACCAAGACAACCCTTGAAAACCTGCAGATGTGGGAGAGTGGTCCAGACCAGAATCACAACATTAATATGAATATGGGTATTTGGATGTAATTATTAAGATAAAATCAGTATCCTCATTAATTTCATTGTCTTGGGAAATCTGTTGCAGACAGAATGTTCTTAGTAACTTAATCCCGAAAACAGCTTCAGACTCACTGGAAGTGGGGTTCAGTGGAGCACTTATCTGTATTCAGTATCTTACCTGTTAGTTTTGGAAATGTTATGGACCTACAGCTCAGTTTTCTTTACTCTAAGCAATGGTTTTGTTGGTTTGAATGTCTTAGATGTGTTCTTGTCTCGCTACAAAAGTTAACGTGTTTCCTTTATGTGAACTTTGATCCAAGGATTATAAGAAACAAAAAGTTTTATTGAAGCAGAGATGATTTGTTATGAAAAATTAGTTTTCAGAAAGGAATCTTCTCCTAACTGACCAAATCATTCATTTTAAATTCTACATTTAATCATTCCCTGGTATWACTGATATCTGTGCTTTTGGAGCAGGGAACCAGTGGCCTTTGTGCCCAAATCAAAGCCCCCCATGCTATGAATAGTTATTTATCTGGTTGTCCTCACCAGCACTCGCTGAGAGATTTACCCCCTGAGACTTTCCCCTTTGACCCCGACAAATGGACTCCTGTGAAGTGCATCAGAAAGTGGTGACTGGTMGTTAGTGATGCCTGATGTTCAGTCAGCTGCTTTATTCCTCAGCTTGGTTGTAGCTGAAGTTTTTCACTGTAATGTTGCAATGTCATCTAGTGAGTTAATTAGACTTAAAGAACCTCTGACACCTTGCTAAGTGGTCTTAAATTGCAGAGACCACTTTGTGAGGACAGTCCAGGTATTGTTCAAATAAACCCAGACGGATTTTGCGGCCTGCCCCAATCAGCTCAGAGAAAGAAAAAAAAAAGGTGATATAATTGCCAGGACACGATGAAGCCAGACCTGTGGAGTTCTTCATCCTCCCCCTTATTCCTTCCATTGCATCCATTCTCTGAAGCTCCACACTCTGTGATTGTCCTCCCCTCCCTCATTGTTCCAGCATCCCTCTCCAACAACAGGCCAATTTGTCCCTCCGGCTTGGCTGCTGCCTCCCCTCCTGCTGCGTTATTTAGCCCCCTCTCCTGCACTTCAATGGTAGGTACTGATTAGAAAACTTCCACGACCCCTTTGCCGGTCCTCAAAAATCCCTCCTCCCCCCTCCCAGCAACCTTTAATCTGATTACAGGCTTTCTGCAGCTTTTCAGATGAGGCCGGTCCCAGGAGGACAATAGCGGACCAAGTGGTTTCACAAACACTCTCCCCGGGGTCATATGATTCACAGGAAGAGGAGCGTTTGCTCTCCTCTGATATCAGGTCCGAGAACGCTCTGTCATTTTACACAAACGTCTCTTTCAGAGTGTCGTTGTCTCTCCTCGATCAGCATTTCAATAAGAGTCTTACTTCCATCATGTCAAACTGATATTTTGCATTTTACACTCGGCTCATGGATTCAAAATAAAACATTTATGACCAGAACCTGAAGAACTGAATGTTTGACGTGAAAATCTACCATTTTGATATATTTTGAACCCTAAATGAACCATGCCTGTGATTTAAATTCGTCACAATTTGGACATTTGTTAATGTAAGTTGTTTTTCCTTAAACATGTAAAACAAATGCAGCTTTATTGTTTTTATATACTTTTTGGATGTTAATTAGGTGTAGATGTTTTTACACTGTTCATTTTCTTGAGTTAAAACAGTAATAAATGTGCTGCAGCACATCGCCATGCTGCTGTTTTACTGGTCTTATAAAATTTGACAGCAGCTTTTGTTTAACCCTCACTTAACATGTTTGACCTCATCCCTCACTAAAGCCTCCACCAGCGTGGAGCATATGTCCGGCCTCTGTGTTTGGAGTCCATTAATGTCACAGTGACTGGTCAGGAGATGATCCTATTGACCGACATGTCCAGCTGTCATTACCATTGGAATAAAGGCTGAAAGGAGACCTGAGGGCCTTTAGGACAACAAGTGTGTCCACAGTGACCTCGGAGAGACGTCTCAGTCTCTGCAGACTCAAAATCAAAAGGAAGCAGATGTTAAAGATGTTCCTGGAACAACTGATGGTCAGCATTTTAGTGAGTGGAAACATCTTCAGGCATCACTGACAGAAAATATATGTAAAGCCAAAAAGCACCAAAACCACATCAGCTGAATATTTATTCTTCTTATTAAAAAACAAACGTGTGCTGGAGACTTCATTTTGAGGAAAAGTACTTTTAAAAGTTTGGTAAATGTTAGTTATTTGTCACGTCAAATTGGTCAGAATAGAAGAATCAGGCATGTGTTTTTTTATTTAATCCGTACAAAAATGAAGATAAAACAATTATACATGCAGACAGCAACTTCAATCCTATTTAAATTAATGTTAAGTTTTTAATTCTTGTACTTTTTCTAATTTCTGCTGTCTTGAAACAACATAAACAAAACAAATTCAAAATTATTATAAAAATATTCTGGCGAAAAACCTAAATGCTGGAAATCTGAAAGACAACAACCCGAACTGCTGAACAGAAAACAAACATTTAAAAAATATATTTTTTGCCAGATTTCCTGAGATTCAAAGTGCTGACAACAAAGTTTTTCATCTTTAAAACATCTGGAATTTGATGGAAAAAAAACATTCTGCTGGGTCATGATTTGTAGGAAAGAGTACTGATCATTTAGTTTAAAAAACTGCATCACAAACTGTTTTGTTCTTTATCACACGCAGAAAGCAAAACCCTGCAGCCACATAAAAACTGATTTTACTTTAACATCTTTTATTTGGGCAGAATGTTATAAATGTACAAAAGATTAACTTAATGAAATAGAAGAAAAAGCATTTGTAGTTTGCAGTGTTTGAATAACCTTAAGTTTCTCTTAAAGATTTATTTACTTATTTATTTGTATCCTAGCATCCCAACGAACATCAACACCTGCACTCATCTGCTTCCCCCTTCATGCACATTTAAACAGTACAGCTATTGTTCACTTTTTTATGTATGTAAACTCATGCTCACGTATTCTTACTCTTGATGCTACACTTATTTATTCATATAGCTGTTAGACTTTTTATTTAAATTTGACAATAATGCTTTTAGATAAGTAAAACATAAGCTTAAAAACAAGAATATTTTGGTTTGTTCATATATTTATTTAGTTTTTCGCATTCCAGTTCAGTGCTATTAAAATTGTTTTTAAATCTGGTAGAAATATCTGAATAAAACAATCACATTTTACATTCAAACACAACAACTGTACAGTCACACTGAGCGCAGCGACCCTCAGAGTTTAAGTTTTTATCATCAGAAGAGACAGAATCCTTCAGGCCTTCAGGTTCTGAACAGTGCCGAGTAAACATTTTATTAATAATCAACTGAATTACTGTGAGGGCTTCTTGTTCCAACCATAAATAAATAAATTACATATAACTCATTGAGATTTCTAACTAAAAAGCCAGTCACACTTTTCTAATAAAGGGTTGGAAACTTGACATTCATTCATTTGGCTGCAGGTAACATTCAACATTATGATTAAAAAAACTAAAGTTGTGTCATTTAGCAAAAAACACCCACTGTAAAAACCAGGTAGTCATGTTGGAAACAGATGCTTCTCATTTAAATGCAACATTCAACAAAACAAATACTTCATTTTCTTCATCTCTTTTTCTTTGCATGTGCTATACAATGCAGTGCAACAAAAGAAACACAAAAAAATCATAACTGTTTAAAACTTGTCAAAGGAGTTTAAAAAATAGGTCCTGTTTACACCGATGCAGAACATTTTATATTCAAAAACTATAAAAAGCACATAGTTAGAGGCTCTCAGAGCATCAAAAATCAGTGTATAGAACACAAACACATCCTGCCTGACATTAAAAACAATCAGAACAAAAAAAGAATTGTTTAAATCACTTAAGTCTTTTTTATATAATCTCTGTAACTTTAACTTTAAATGTTTCAGGTGTCAGAAACCAAGCTCAGAGAATTTTTGATCATGTTTGAAGCTCCTTTATGAACCAAAGTTGCTTTTAGCTGCATCAGACTCAGAACTTTACGAGAGGTTTGATCCTTTCTCGGATCACGTGGAGCAGCTGCAACTTTCCTCTATGGTGAAGTTTGACTCGGCTCTGTTAGAAGTAAAGAAGAAAGTCATATTTAACATCAGACTCAGATGAAAGAAGGATGTATCTGATGTGAAAACGTGTAACAAAATAAAACGCTTACAGGTCTTGCTGTTTAAGTGTCATGTGGTTGTTGTACTCCAGAACAGGAGGAAGAATATCCTCATCCTCATCCTCAGGCAGCTGCAAATAAATGACAGATAATTATCATCAACTATTTAAAGGGTGACAGCACCATCTACTGGTTGGAAACACGCTCCTACCTCCCAGTAGGCCTCATCATCGAAGCAGTGGTCGTCAGCAGCATCACCCCAGATAGGAAGCTTCAGGATTAAACCTTTAAAAAACCACCAGAAATCAGACTTCAGCAGAGCTTTTCACCTCACTTTTCTTTTCTCAACTCCGACACTGCTTTATTTTTGAATATTTTGAAGATGAATCAAATTATTCTGGAGATGGAAAAAAAATCTGCAAATGGGAATTTCAAAATGTCAAAATTTAGTGATTTCAAACTGAGACTGTGACACATTTTCATTTTATGTCTTTATCTTTTTTAATCCAACATTTGAACTAAACCCAGTGGCTGGCCTTTGGTCCAAAAGATCAAAAACTGAGACTTCATGGATTCTTTTGACCCAAGGGCAGCAGAAGGGTTAATAAAAACAGTGTCAAATCAACATTAAACAGTGTTAATATAACGCTGCTGTATTAACAGTGTAAGAGTAAATTATTTATTTGAGTCTCACAAGTTTACTCTTGTTCAAACTCACCAACAATGGCTCCTCCAATCAGCCCGAACGCCATCGACACGCAGGTCCCAGCGGCTTGATATCCTCCCTGCGTTCCCACACCTCTGTGTGCATACTCGCCTTCGAAGCCAAATACTTTTATCAACCTGAGCAAAACAAAACAAAAACACAACAGCAGATTACAGATTTTGATGTTTTAATGCCATGACAATTTCTGAATTTCCGATCATCGTGTGCCATCACTCACCCCTGCTCGCTGTAAACTTCTTTTGAAGCAAATGCAGCAACGATGGCTCCTATGAAGCCGCCGAGCATCCCCGGCACGGCGTGCAGGTTGTGAATCCCACATGTATCCTGGAGCTTCAGCTTCCTCTCCAAAAACGGCTGAAAAGATCAAACAGGKCTGTGTAATGAAGCTCAAAAACCTATTGTGGCTTCAGTATGCATTCGTTCTGTTATTAAAGGGATCCATGATTAGTTGTAACATTAGACTTTATTTGATAAACATTTATTTTAACTGTTAAATAAAAAACGTAAAATACTGTAGGCTGTTTAGTTTTTTTATAATTTTTAAACTAAAAGTTTAAAAAAATATCACATGGATGGGCCATTTTATTTACACGCAAAGCATTCTGGGTAAATGATGATGTGGATAGGTCCTCGGAGCAAGGCGGCTAGCGAGCTATATCCACCCTGAAGGTTAATCTTGGACAATATCTGATGATYGWCTCTTTTAAATGAAACCAGAGAGCGTTGACAGAGAGGAGAAGGTAGAAATGATTCAGCCTGTAACTGAAAATATAGATAGAGGACCTCAGTTTAGCTTGTTAGTTTGTTGAGCTAGTGCTGAACTAGTACATATAAGGCAATACAGCATTAGCGCTAGCACGAACACTAACAGGCTAAGCTGAGGTTCTTCCATCCATATTTTCAGTTACAGGCTGAGTCATTTCTACCTTCTCCTCTCTGTCAACGCTCTCTGGTTTCATTTAAAAGAGTCGATCATCAGATATTGTCCAAGATTAACCTTCAGGGTGGATATAGCTCGCTAGCAGCCTCGCACCGAGGACCTATCCACATCATCATTTACCCAGAATGCTTTGCGTGTAAATAAAATGGCCCCGTCCATGTTAAAATATATTTTTAAAAATTTACAAAACTAAACAGCTACAGAATTTTTACAGTCTTTATTTTACAGTTAAAATAAATGTTTATCAAATAAAGTCTAATGTTACAACTAATCATGCACTGTAAAAAATGAAATGTTGGATTTACTTAATCATGTTATGTTACCTGGTTCCACTTAACTGAGTTGAGTAAATTCAAAGCAATATACCAGTTTTTTAGCCAAAGAACACGAGTATGTTGCTTTGAATTTACTCAACTCCTTTAAGTGGAACCAGGTAACATAACATGGTGAAGTAAATCCAACATCCTTTAGCATAGGTTTAGCTAGTTTGTCTTGTTGTGCAACATGTTTTCAGAAAGTCCTCCACAAACAGGAAATTAATATTTGGCACCGATTCCAAAGCTAAGTGAGGCGTGGCTTCTCTGTACATAATTGTGGTTCTTTCTCCGTCACAAATTATACGATGAAGTTCCTGTTTTCCATCTGCTGTCACGGATAAAGCATAAAAAAAATCAAGCTTACCGTGATGAACAGGTATCCAAAGGTGGAGATGATGCCCATGCAGAAACCCACGATGAGCGAACCGTAAGGCGTGATCATGAACTCTGCCGACGTTCCCATCGCAACTCCTCCAGCCAGCGTGGCGTTCTGGATGTGCACCTGTCGGATTATGTGAAAAGAGCAAGGTCGCCCGTGAAGGAAAACCGCCGCGGAGAGGTTTGTGTGAACATGTCTGTTTTCTGCAGCCTCACCATGTCCAGTTTGCCCTTCCCGTGAGCCAAGCTGGAGATGGCGAAGGCGGTGAGAACGGAGGCAGCGAGGGCGAGGTAGGTGTTGATGGCCGCCCTGTGCTGGCCGTCACCGTGGTATGAGATGGCTGAGTTAAAACTGGGCCAGAACATCCACAGAAACAGTGTGCCTGTGAACCGGGATAATACAAAATATAGGAGAAATAAAAAAATGGATGTTTGACACAAAACACCAGTAATTAGTTAAATTAATTAGATTTGATGATGTTCACTCACCAATCATTGCGAACACATCTGAGTGGTAGACGGAGCCGTGGAGACGTTTACTTTGGTGTAAGTTTGGTCTGTAGAGCACCCAGGAGATGGCCAAACCATAGTAGCCTCCAAAGCAGTGAATGATCATAGAGCCACCAGCATCTCTGCACTGTGGAGGCAGAAACACATCAGGGTTTAAAGTGCAAAACACCTAATCTCATTAAAGTGCATAACTGGGGCTGGTTTGACTGGATTGACTCACGTGCAGGAGGCTGAGGATGATGTATTCCTCCACAGCAAACAGCGTGACTCCAAACAAGGTGACCACCATCAGCTGGACGGGGCTCACTTTCCCCAGAATGGCCCCAAAGGCGATCAGAGAGCCGGCGCAGCAGAAATCAGCGTTGATTATGCTGCGTGGAACGAAGAGAGGAGGATTTAAAGATCACTTTCCCCGATAGTCACAGAGAACGATTTCACTGTTGCAGCCGTGTCTCTCCGTCAACTCTTACTTTTCAACACCAATGAGGATTTTCCCGGTGGTGGGATCGAGGGAGTGGAACCAGCCCTGCATGAGGAGAGCCCACTGCAGGCCGAAGGCGGCAATCAGGAAGTTGAACCCCACGCCGCCAAAGCTGTAGCGTTTTAAGAAGGTCATGAGGAAACCGAAGCCAACGAAGATCATGACGTGAACATCCTGGAAGCCTGGAGGGATGGAAAGAAAGACACAAAATTATTGAAGGTCAGCATGCATTTTTATTATACATTACCTGCATTACTACTGGATTTATAACTATGCTTGTTTTGTGTTAAGATTGGATCAGATGCACTGATTAAGTCATGCGTGCAAAAGATGATGCAACAGAATGTCACACATGAGCTGCAAAACAAATCTTTATTTTCTTAAATTAAAAAAGTTCCTGATGGATTTGCTGTAAAAAAAGAGCAAAAATGATGACCTTTGTGGGAAAAAAAATGTTTTAGATAATATTCTTGAATTTGTCTTTGAAATCTCATCATTTTATACTTTTTTGTGACTCGTTGTATGAAACTAAAATAATTGCTAAATCAGTTGCTATGATTTACAGTTGAAACTAAATAAGAAAAACATATTTTCTGGTTCAGACCATTAGGAGAGACTTGACCTCTGGTACTTACTGGGATATCTGAAGTAGAAGTCATTGTCCTGGTCCGTGAGGTTCTCGTGCTTCTTGTGCTCCACCCAGTGTGCGTCAGATTCCTCGTCGTATCGAATGAAAATCCCAAACAGGATGATCATGGCGATCTGCCAGACGAAGCAGACTGCAGGCAGACTGACTCGGATGTTGGTGTTCTTCTGAGGGCCCATAGACTTGAAGCAGTTCCCCATGGTGACTCCGTGCTGATGCTGTTCTGATAGACAGTACCTCGTCTGTGACTTCCAGACCAGTCTCATCATCTTATATAAACACACATGCAGTTTTGGGGTGTGACCTTCTCCACCACTCACAAGTCAGGGGTGGACCCGGCTCACCCTTTGGGAGGTAAACAGGGAGGTAAACCACTCCTTTACCTGCTGCCTGCTGTGCTTTTTTTTTTCAGAGGGTTCTTATCAGTTCTAGAAAAAAGGCAGCAGGAAGTATAAAAAAATTAATGACTGTACATAGTTTATGTGATTGAAGTGATGGCATGATGTAGATATGACTTTAGTTTGTGACGCTGTTGGTTTCAAAATGTTTGTAATTCTCAGAAGGCCAGCTCAGGCAGATAATGTGGAAAAACACAGAACTGTGGTGGAATGAATTCAGCAGCTGAGATAAAGACAAGCTACAGCCGTTTGTCTTTTTTATTTATTTTTTTAGTGCTTTCTTTTCTGCGAAAGCTTCCCAGTTGAACAAAACTGTCCTTCAAGACGACCCTGTCAATCATCAGCAGGGCTGCGTTCTGACTGCAGGAGTGTTTGATACAAAGACACTGTCAGTTTTTAATAAATCAAAAAGGTTCTGGTCGACTGCAATATTAACCCAACACATAGAGGTCTTCAGAAGTCTAAATAGACATGCTGTARCTATATAAAACTCAACTTTAGAATCAAAATGACCTTTTTGCTGGTTTGTTTTGCCCAACTTTAGAATGAAAAAGTGAAAAGGAGCACAGCCTGAAACCTATGAAACTTTATGAAATAAGTAACAGGTTACAGTGACATGAAACAAGGTTTCAAACCTCATATATCTTGTTTTTATTGCTTKTTTCTCCTCAGACTTTGTGAGAACAACCGCAGGCAGCTGTCCAGGACTTTTAGAACTGTTCCTATTATTAGTTTTATGAGAACAAACTCATAAAACTACCAATTGCTTGAGTTCCAGGTACCTTCAAGAGGACTAATCTGGATTAAGGGTGGATAGTTTTACACATAATCTGAAAAGATGTTAAGTTTTGCTCCCATGTCACGAGCACAACATTTGACAACAAAGCAAATTACAGTGTAGTACAGTGTACGAACTAGATATGTACCCAGTACATAGCAAGTAACTACCAGGTAAGTACCAGGTACATAACTGGTAAGTATGTGGAAGGTAAGAAGCCAGGATATGTCACATAGTGACCAGTACATACCAGGTGTTTCCTTCTCAGCAGGTGAAGACGTTGTAGTGCAGAGCTATTCAACTGGCGGCCCACAGGCCACATCCGGCCCGCGAGTGACCGAAGTTCGGCCCGCCAGTTGGTTCATTCATCTCTTAAGCCCAAACCCCCGGATTTCTACTTTACTTACTCTAAGTTCTTTTACTTAAACATAGAAATGTTTGGTGTCTACAGAAACAKCAGAATCTTGGATAGACGCTGGTAAAAACATTTCTATAAGCACTCAAGACAGTTAAAGTTACAAACAGTTGAAGATAAAAGGATGAAAATGAAAATAAAATTGGTTTAAAAATTTGTCAAGTCAGAGATGTTAAAATATTATTTGTGTCAAAAAGGGGCACAATGTGTTCTTTTTGTTTTTGACAATGGTTAATTATCACTACTTTTATAGGGTTCTGTATGTTGTATTCATGATCAAACGCAGCAAAATGAACTATTTCAAAGATAACAGATCTTTGTAATACTTGATTTATTTACATAACTTTAATTGCTGGATATTCGGCCCCTCAGCTGATGACTGGCAGTGGCCCCCGGAGCAGTTTAGTTGAATAGCCCTGTTGTAGTGTTTATTTTATTTTAAATGGAGTCTGTATGCTGGATGTCTATTTCTGTGTCCGGGTTTCTAAAAGAGTCCACCTGTTCCACCTGCTGGCTCTGGATGCTGAGTGGCTGAATGAGAGATGATGCGGCACCTTCCTCTCTGCAACCGCAGCACAACTCTTTGGTCTTTGTGACTTTCATTCCAAGAAATTCTCACCGAAACCATTGACCAAGTTCCCGTCATTTGAGCTACCGGGGCAATTGTCTGCAGATTCAAAAAGGGGCATCCCTTCACTGTTGCAGGAAACTCTGCTGGTATACACAGAAAACAGAACAGGAGATGGAACACAGCCTTGAGGGAGCCCTGGATTTAAATTCAACTAAATGAATTTAACAAGTACCTGCCTGGTCCATAAAATCAGTGATGGGTGCCCATGTGGGTCTAAAACCAGAAGAAACATAAGGACCTGGTGTCTCCTAACTACCATGCAACTACCAAGTAATTGTAAATGTAAGTAATTTACCAAGTAATTACATAGTAAATTACTATTAGTAAACTAATTTTAGTGGATAATTACAATAAAATTATGATTTATTCTTACCTCAAATACCTATTTTTGCCAACAGATTCCTAACTGAATTTTCACATATAATCACCCAATTACCATGTTATGTCAAAGTAATTATGTATCTTTAAGTAACCAGTATGTAACAAAAGCACAAGGTATGTATCAGGTGAACCTTTGTGATGCGTACTCAGAAGTACTATGTATTTATGAGAAAAGTATCCTGTATGCCCTGATACGTTACCAATATAATACATATAAGTACAGCATGTCTCCAGTACATACCAGTTATATAGTAGCAGAGGTAAGTAGAAACTACTTAGTTATATTTTCTAGTCACTTTGGAAAAAATGTACTTTAAGGAGCAGTTTTACTAGACCGTACGTTTTACTTGAGCTGAGTGTTGCTACTCTTGCTTGAGTAAAATTTTTAAATATTCTAGTAATTTTACCAAATGTAGCAAGAAACATGTTTTAACCAGAGACACATATAGTTTATGTTGAAATGAGACCTCCTCTTTGTACACAAGCTTAGTTGTTGCAATGCTTACACACACACACACACACACACACACACACACACACACACACACACACACAAATAAACTGCATGTGTTGAAAAGTCAYGTGACTGCATTACAGTGATTACAATATGAGATCAGATGGATAACAAATTTCATTAAGTCATTACTCTGAAAGCAATATAAAGAAGCCAGATTACAGCTGGTAAATCCACACACTCTTTGGAGACACAGTTCTTAGACAGATGACACTTAAAGTAGCACTATTTGGTCCTATGGTCTTAATGACTATCATTACATTTGGTGGAATAAGAGAGACGCTCGGAAGCCACAGACCACCATGTAAAGAACAGGGGGTAACATACTGTATGTGGGGTCTTTATATATATATGTATGTATATACAT